TTTCACTGCTCATCTGTCGCACTATAGGCACTTCACCCGCCTTATCCTCCCATTTCCTTTATATTCTTCATTATGCATTCGTAGATTCTGAAGGAAAAAAAAAATATTCATATACTTATTTTCTACAAACAATGTTTGAGAGAAAACTACGTCGTCAAGGTCGTTGATTGCAATGAAAGATAATCATATGTGTACTTTAATATTTCCATTACATCAAGGTATCGCATTTTAGCTAGTCGATTTGTGAAGGAAAACAGGTTATATTAAATGTTATGGAGAAGAGTTAATGCAAAAATGTTTGTAAAAATAATGTTCGCTTCATTTATGCTCTTTTCAAAAGAATATTCCATATTAATCATTGTTTAGTTTATATCTCATTCTTTAAAGGGAAGTTCAAGATAAGATTTAATTTTTTTCATATCTGGATACTAGTAATTTACTTGAAAAGACGTCAATGGTTATCTTACACCCAACCTTTATGATAAACGTAATGACTTTAACTAACTGCAAGAGCAAGCTCTACATATGTAAAATTTTTCAAACGAGGTAAATAATTGACAAACAAGTCGATGAAACAAGAATATCACCAGTCTCGTTTAAAGTCATCATTTCGTAAGTTTTATGGTCAATACAATGACCTTGTCAGCAAATACAATTTATCATTGAGTCAAAAGCTGAATGAGGTTTCTCATACTAACTGTTGGGCCATTAATTACACACTGAGTTGTCGACGGATTTTACTTTTATTTCGCGATCATGACAAGGAGAACACGGCGGTTGTGACCAATCGGCGGCAGGAGATGATCATTCTTACATGGCACCTGATCGCACCTCAGATACTGATGGAGGTCTGTGTTTGCTTTGCTCCAATTTTTTATTGTTTTATGTATTTTTGTACTTGAATAATGTTCGTTATCTCCATGAATTTCATTGAAGAAATTTCCAAATTAATACAAAAGGAATACCTATGTTTTACGATATAATGTCCTTTCCATTATTATTTTCAAGTGAATGAATGTTTTCAGAAATTCATTTTTTAAATAATTAACCTCAATCCTTAACCGGTAGCATCATTAACATGTAATAGCAAGCACTCTGAGAGTATTGCATAAGCAATTCTAGTCTCCAAATGGCAAGAGTAATCTGGTTTCCATTAAAAATTAGAAAGGTTGTAATTGTACACAAAAATGAATGAAGTGGAACGAAATTCAAACTTGATCTATAACTTAAAAAGATGCACTAACATACCAAAAATTAGCTCAATATCTGTAAGCGTCTAGAAAAATGTGTGAAAAACAATTAAAAAAATAAAAAATGACGTATTTTTCCTGTGAAATCATTGAAGCGGAACGAAATACAAACCTGATCTTAAACTTATCAAGATACACTCACATACCAAAAATCAGCTCATCCTCTACAAGCATTTACAAAAATGTGCGGAAAAGCAAGTGGGACAGACTTACAGACAGACAAAGGAACAGACAGATAGACAGACTCAGACAAAACCTATAGTCCCCATCGGGTTCATCGATAGGGGACTAAAAATAACGTGTTACATTCAGAGTAACAATTCGTACAACTTCCCTCCAACAAAATGGTCTTCACACTTGGAACAAATATATCTAGAAACATAAACATATAGGTTATTTAACTTTTAAACGAGATTTTATTTGAAAATTGAGACAAATGGAACAAGCATTACTTTAATATATTTTACAGAGAACCCATGTATAAAGATTTAGATGAATAGAGAGTTGGTGCATCGCCTGCAATTTGTAAAAGGTAACATTATGGTTCGGGGTATTCTAGAAAATATGTCAAAGGTCAATATCATTTAGACTGTGATAATGATATTTTTCATCATGTTTTATAACAAGTAGAAGTCCAACTTGCCTTTCATTGATAAACATAATATTTTTCTCCAATGATTGCTTTCATTAAAAATACGGAATTAATAAGGTGTATGTCTTAAAAACATAGGCATTTTGTAAGAAATATTTTCGATAAATATTTTATTCAGTATTTGTTATCAAATGGTACTTTCTATCTGTCAATCAAAGATATATTTATAAACTGTAGAAGTTTCAACTTTATAAACCACGTTGTAAGCTATAGTAAAAAAAATATATAATTTTTTGACATTTTGACATTTGATGAAACCTTAATTGAAGTATATATCATTTCCCATTCTTGGTATGAAAAATGGAAACAGCTCACTTTCAAGTCTTCGAGGTATGCGATACACAGGGTCAGGAGGCCTATATGATTCATATGATTATCCTTTTATTTTAAAATTTTGTAAAGTATTCGTAAAAATTATATGGATATTTTTCCATGCAAATTTCATGTGAATGAATTTGTATGATATTCACATAACTTAAGTTAAAATAATAAAACGTTAAACACGTGAAGTTTCCATGCCATATGTTCTTCTTGTAAAATGCATAACATTCATCGTCTCTTTCTCGTGAAAAAGTTTCACATAAAAATTCATGTGACCTTTACAACTCTATATGAAACAAAGTCGAACATTTCTAATGTTTTGATGAGTGAGAATGAAAAAAATAATGTTTCACCGCTGAGTGAGAAGTTGGAACGGTCGATGAGATGTTGGACCGCCTACGTCACACAATGTGCAGAGCTTTATCTCTTTTTCATCCATTGGTGTTCATTGGTGTTGAGACTGGAGTTGACAATACATCAAAAACAATCCAAAGGGAAATCTTGAAATTTGTGAAATGAAGTTTTTTTCTTCCAATTAAACTCCTTTTAATTTCCTTATCATTTGATAATAAATGTTAGAGCATAATTATTCAAAGCAATCACACCTTATTTATCATTCTTATTAATTACCTGAGTCCTAATTTTTAATTTATACCTGTCCAGGTGTCATATGGTCATGGGGTCCTTTTGGATTTGGGAGACGTTCCATGGAAAGCCAAATCATGGAAGAGGTAGACTGCTTGATGGAGAAATTGGGAAAATCTGAAAACGAGGCTTTTGATATTACGAATCTTCTAAATGCATCAACGGCCAATGTCATTTGTTCGCTTTTATTTGGTAGAAGATTTGATTATGGTGATACAAGATTCAAGCGTTTAATCAATCTCTTTTCGAGGGCGTTCAGTAGCGTCACAACAGCTTCACCGGTTTATATTTTTCCATCTTTACGCAAATTGAGGATCTTTAACATCGACACAGTTTTAGAAAATGTTAATGCTTGTAGGGCATTTCTTGATGAAATGATAGAGGAGCATAGAAGAAATTTTGACGAGAACCACATCGATGATTTTTTGATGCTTTTCTTCTGGAACAAAAACAAACATCGGATGAAATCAACACTATATTTACAGGTTTCTTTGATGTATAATGTCCCTCTGAAGAATTTTTCACTCATATGGAGACGCAGCCACTTACCTGTGGAGAGCTGCAAATTGCGTACAATGCTCGATACTCAATGCCAATAAGCAGTAAGGGATCTTTTTCATACTAGCACCTACTGTGACGCCAGATTTCGGTTTATATGGTCTCATCCGAAGGACCGGTCTCCACGTCCCACAGTGGGATTCGAACCCGCGACGTAAGCTATGCATACAGGTTATTCATTATGTATGTAATGATGGAATTTTGAAGGTGGAATTAAAGGGCATAAATGTTATTCCCATGAGATCACAAAATAAGTACACTATAAGTCTATAATTAATTCTGATTAATCAATTATGAACATGTAGTGCTGTATGCGAATATGCATTTAGACTTTGCTTTTCTGTGTTGATTGACATTGATGTACCAAAGTATTATATATTTATTAACACACTCAGCATAAACGAAACACAATTTTGTGTTGATCGATATTAATGTAACAAAGTATTTATATTTTCCGTTACACCCTCAGCATAAACAGAAACACAATTGAAGACATCTTATCTTTGCTTATTTACAATGCTTTGATCTTTGTTTCATTTACTAGAATTCAAATATTTAACACAATATTACTTTATCAGTTACAACATTATTGATTGTTTAATTATCACAATATTATTATGAATATAATACTCAGACAAAAACCTAAACCAAACTTTAGAAGACATGTTCCAAGCTGGCACTGAAACTTCTTCAACAACACTCAGATGGGCACTACTTTTCTTGATCCATTATCCGCACAGGCAGAAAAGACTGCAGAAGGACATTGATGACGTAATCGGTCAAGGTCAGCCTAAAATGGAACAAAAGAAACAGCTGCCAACGGTAGAGGCTTTCATCCTGGAGAGTGTTCGAGTAGGAAATACCTCCCCCTTATCTGCCCCACGTGCAGCCAAGGAAGACTTCTCGTACAAAGGACATCTCTTTCCCAAAGGTACTATGGTACTGTGTCTTTTGGATTCCGCCTTGATGGACCCAGAAACATTTCTTGAAACTTTAAAGTTTAAACCTGAGAGGTTTTTAGATGACAACGGGAGATGTAGTGAAGACTTAAAAGACAAAATGATTTCCTTTTCAGTGGGTATGAATTTACAATAAAATATTTCAGTATTGGAAAAAGGCCCAAGATTATCAATATTAATAATCATGGTCTGTACGTAAGTTAAAATCTGAATCATAAGCAAATATCTAGTAAAATATAAGAATACATACAAAATTAAACTGCCGATATTTTTAATTGTTGTCAATCAGGGCCCAGAGCGTGCTTAGGAGAAGCCCTCGCCAAAATGGAGCTCTTTCTTTTTTTCGTGAGATTTCTACAGAAGTTTGAGATAAAACCCGAGAATCCCGATTGTCTCCCTTCTTTAGAGGGAAGTCTTGGGATTACACACACTCCTAATCCCTTTAATCTGAGACTTGTTAAACGTTAAACTCTACTTGACAAGCAGTTTTGAAATAAAAACAAGGACCATTTGAAAATTCTAAATATGGTTTGATTCGAGTTTTATGTATTTGATGTGATAGAAAACATTACAATTTTTCGTATTTTATAAAGTCACAATAAAAATTTTAATTGTGATGAATAATGTATTGATCCCATGTTCCTGTTTTGTATTTTTAATAATCCAAACTGTTAAAATTGAAATTTGGGAACTGAATTGTCTTTGAGGAAGAGGTTGAGAGTCACATGTTGTGCATTACGTGTACTCATATTTGAAGAAATGTACCAGTGTGAAAAGAATATGAAGGAAAAAAATCATTTTGAGAAAAATCAATAGGCATTGACTCATTGGTAGGTTCTATTTACTGACAAGGTCATTATATCGACCAAAAACTTGAGGATGGCTTCAAAATAGACTGTTGATATATGGTTGTTTTGTCAATTTGTTTGTCAAAAGGTTGTTCGTTTTAGAAATGGGTCAAATGTAGAACATGTCCTTGCGTATCTAATCAACTGGGAGACAAACTCCAAATGCAGGTGATAATAGTAGATTTATCAATAAGTAAAGGAAGTTGATTGAAAATTTGAAGTCAGCACGTTTATCATGTTTTATCTCACCTGAGATGAAAGCTCAAGTGAGCTTTTCTGATCACATTTTGTCCTGCGTCCGTCTGTCTTTCTGTCCGTCTGTCTGTCTGTAAACTTTTCACATTTTCAACTTCTTCTCAAGAACCACTGGGCCAATTTCAACCAAACTTGCCACAAAGCATCCTTGGGTGAAGGGAATTCAAGCTGGTTCAAATGAAGGGCCACGCCCTCATTCAAGGGGAGATAATTGGGAATAAGTGAAAATTTGGTGGCATAATTAAAAAAATCCTTTCTCAAGAACCACTGTGCCAGGAAAGATGAAACTTATGGAGAAACATCCTCAGGTAGTGTAGATTCAAGTTTGTTCAAATCATTACCCCCGGGGTAGGGCGGGGCCAAAATAGCCGACCAAAGTTTTACATAGAAATATATAGGAAAATTCTTTAAAAATCTTCTTCTCAAGAATGACAAAGCCATAATTCATCATATTTATATTGAAGCATGCTCAGGTAGTGAAGATTCAAGTTTGTTCAAATCATGACTTCCAGGGGTAGGGCGGGTCCAAATTGGCCGACCAAAGTTTTACATAGACATATATAGTAAAATCCTTTTAAAATCTTCTCAGGGATGACAAAGCCATAATTCATCATATTTAGATGGAAGCATGCTCAGGTAGTGTAGATTCAAGTTTGTTCAAATCATGAACCCCATGGGTAGGACGGGGCCAAAATGGCCGACCAAAATTTTACATAGAAATATATAGGAAAATTCTTTAAAATCTATTTCTGAAGTATGACAAAGCCACAATTCATCATATTTATATGGAAGCATGTTCAGGTAGTGTAGATTCAAATTTGTTCAAATCATGACCCCCAGGGGTAGGGCGGAGCCAAAATGGCCGACCAAGTTTTACATAGAAATATAGAGGAAAATTCTCAAGAAGAGCAAAGCCATAATTCATCATATTTAAATGGAAGCATGCTCAGGTAGTGTAGATTCAAGTTCAAATCATGACCTCCTCCCCCCCCCCCCCCCCCCCCGGGGTAGAGCGGGGCCGACATGGCCGACCAAGGTTTTACATAGATATATATAGAAAAATTCTTTAAAAATCATTTTCTAAAAAATAGCAAATTCATGATTGGTCATGGGACTTTTTTTGATTTAAACTTTACAATAAAAACCATTTTCCACTTTTTCCTAGCCTTAGTGCTCAGGTGAGCAATGTGGCCCATGGGCCTCTTGTTTTGTGGTTAGCTAAAATATCTGAATATGAATTAGATTTGTCGAATTCTGTGGTATCTTTTTTTCAAACGCACTCATATTAATACAGGAATAGGTCTACTAAAACCGTAGTGCAATTGGTTTGTTCGAATGTTAAAGTTTAAAGAAATTAAAAGTTTTTGACTAAAAACAAGTCTGCTGATATCCTTGTTTCATCGACTTGTTTGTCAATACTTTACCTCGTTTTAGAAATCATTCATATGTAGAGCATGTGCTGGCGTATCGAATCAGCTGAGATATAAAAAATCCATGTGCAGGTGATGAAGGTATATTGCTACATAAGTAAGAAAAACTGACTAAAAGTAACAGTCGTCATAAAGTTTTGATGTTAGAAAACCCTTAACATCTTTTTCTAGAAAAATATCTAAAATATGTATCTTTTAAGAATATTTCTAATTGTCTGTAGACGGATTTTTCACCGCATTGTAGCTGAGTCGGTGGAGCGCTTGCTCCGTTTTCGGGTCAGGTCAGGTCGGGAGTTCGAATCTCGGCCGCAAGTGACCTAAGTTGATGGGTAAAAAATGGGTAAACTTTTTCTGTGTCATGCGCTTGGCATTATGATGCGAAAATTACGGTTATTTCGGAAATGACCCTTAAAACGTAGGTTCTGTTGGCACGTTAAATACCCCTCACTGCTCATTTGGGACGTAAAACAACTTAAAATCAACCAATCAATTAATCTACAGATTGTTTTTCTCGATTTGCCTGATAATGCCAAGAGCTAGTACTGTAAATCACTTTTATTCGCGTGAACCTTATTTTCGAGACAGTGTGCTCGCAAAAATTTAATTCTCGCGTATAACAGTATTCTTTAAGATTAATTAAACAGGGTTCTCCATGAGCTGTTTTACTGTGTTGCTCCCGACACAGTAAAATTTTCTCCGACACAGTAACGATTCAAATTTAATGCATGAAACACAGTAAACATTTTGCCGACACAGTAAGATCTGTGATAATTAGAAAATCTAAACACACAAATTCTCTCTATATAAGACTTTAATTAAACAATTATATCATCTTTCAATTATTAAAAGTGGAGCACTTAAACACTAGGGCTTCACCTTGCATAATCAATTAATATTATCTCCTCTCACCGGACTTTACGCATGACGGAACAAAGACAAACAATTTGTTTTCGAACTTCCATGTAAGAGGTTTATTGGTAGTTGCAATAAAATACATTGTATTATTTTTTAAAAAAATATTTAAATATGTCTTTTCTATAGAGCCACGGCTCTAGAATTACATGTATTTTAATTAGCACTGTAAGTCAGACATAACATCGTATTGAAGTCATTTAATTGATGTAAATAAAATGCTTAAAATTTTGAACATGTTCTAGGAACTCTTAAAATGTTTTACTGTTCTGAAGTTTCTTTTTTTTGTAATGTGATAACTAGATCAAGAAAACTGATAAATAATCACGGCAAATTTACTTTCAAAAATGTTAAGTAGTACGACTGTATCGGTCAGAATTTCCTCTGCTTTTCAGAACGTGTTTTTACTTTTATCAATATGTACGACCATACCATTTGTGTAACTAATTAGCGACTTTTAAATAAGTGTATTCTTTTGTAATTTTCATAAATAGTGATTTAGTTGCGAATTTCATCGCGAAAATACCGCGAAATTTTAGTTCTTTCCATTAATTCTGCAACACGGTAACATTTCAAATGATGGAGAACCCTGTTTAAAGCAATGGCAACAATTCGTGAAAATGTTGTCTCGCTCATTAAGAATCAATGAATATCTCGCAAAAATAAGATGTCGCGAAAATTAAGTGATCTACAGTATACAGTTGGTGTAACTGGCCGACAGAGAATGTTAACTCCTCTCTGATTGGTACCTGGTTCTATACAGTGGGTGTGACCGGTCGACAGAGAATGTTAACTCCTCTCTGATTGGTACCTGATTCTATAAAGTGGGTGTGACCGGCCGACAGATTATGTTTACTCCTCTCTGATTGGTACCTGGTTCTATACAGTGGGTGTGACCGGCCGACAGAGGATGTTAACTCCTCTCTGATTGGTACCTGGTTCTATACAGTAAGTGTGACCGGTCGACAAAGAATGTTAACTCCTCTCTGATTGGTACCTGGTTCTGTACAGTGGGTGTGACCGGTCGACAGAGAATGTTAACTCCTCTCTGATTGGTACCTGGTTCTATACAGTTGGTGTGACCGGTCGACAGAGAATGTTAGATCCTCTCTAATTGGTACCTTGTTTTTTACACTGGGTGTGACCGGCTGAGAGATTATGTTAACTCCTCTCTGATTGGTACCTGGTTCAACCTCTGAGGTCCGTGTTTGCTTTGCTCCCGAACTGTATGGCTTGAGTTGAGCTTGATAACGTTATCTTTATATTTCATGCAGTAAAATGTGACCGTGATTGCAATATTCTTATATATTAAATCATTTTTACGAGGGTTGTCCAAAAAGTTCGTGGACAATGACGTTTTTGTGAAAATAAATGGTTCTATATAAATCTGTTGTATATCAAAATATTTCTCATGAAAAAAACAAGTCAGAATTATTTAATTTTTATTGATGAAACGTAATATTTTTGTAAAAATCGGGGTCTTTAGAGGTCGCGGATAGTGCGCACGGACCAAGGTTAAAATGAGGTAAACTCTGTTATAAAGAGTTCGGATTAAAATGATTATTTTCTAAATAAAACAAGTCAAAAATTAATAAAAATTTCATGTAACACAAATAAAGAGGTTATTATCATTTTATTTATCTTAAATATCGCTTACTATATAGACAACGAAAATACACAAAGAAAACCTTAGCAAGTACGTGTCGAAACTCAACTGAAAAAGTGACGTCGCCCGTCGGCACGGGACAGCGTCGGTCAAAAAATTAAGTTTTTTAATGGTTGAAACGACGTAAGAGACAAAATATTTGTTAAAACAACTCAAAATTATTGAAATATATTGAATGTATCGATTTAGGATTCGTATATACGATTTTTCAACAGTGTGTACAAATTCAAAGACACTACAAGAATTTTAAAAACAACTGTAAATGGAGATTTCTATTCAAGACGTTGTTATAAATCTAGCGCAGCGTCGGACTGGGCTGTTCAGTTTTGATATACAAACTGTTAATTTAGATGACGCTCGTAAATTTGTGTACATTGTTTTGAATTTTAAGAATTAAATAAATTATAATCCATACTTAAAGATTATTGCTAGCACTTCGAAGTGTATTGCACCTTAAAAAAGAAATGTAGTGTGTGTCCATGAACATGTGTAAAGTCAAAATCC